TTCTCGTGAGTCTCATGATTAGCAGCCATCACAGAGCGGACACTGTGCGGGTTCTCTCACGTGCCCTCACTGAATAGCCCAACAGGTCAGCGGCCCTGGTACGACTCTTCCTGTTTTACCCTTTAGGACATAAGACACAGAGGTCAAATCCTTGCCCAAGGTCGCCATCCTCCGTGGTAGAGCTGAGGACTATCACGGACTCCAAACTCCCTGCCCTTTCTATTTGGCTACCAGGGATCTCAAATTCCTCTGCCTTTTAGGGCCCAGTAGCTGATGTAAATCAGCGAAGCCAGCTCAAGGGAGATGCAAGACTAGGTATTTGGGAAGGTGCCAAACTGGGGCATGCTCAACTTGCAAAGTCAAAGCTCTCAACCGGAGACCCAGGGTCTCCCTGGTGGCGCAGGACTGGGGCATTTCCTCCCTGAGCTAAACCCCTGCTCAATGGGAGAACATAGCAGCTCGAAGCTCAGCAAGAAATACATCCAACAGCGTTAGGAGTGTAAACAGCAGCAGATGTGGGGCGGGGGGGCAAACACTGACCACATTTTCTGCTGAAAATTCAGTTGGGAATTTGTGCTGTGACCTACATGACCCCAGCCTCCGCCCCCAGCAAATTTTCCTGTCCCCTTCAGGAACAGCAGAACATGACATATTTCCCAAGGATGAATTACTCTGCAGAAAACATTTTAATAATGTGCTTAATGACAGCACAACAAATCATTTAAGCCTTCACCAATTTGTGGTCCAGTTCCGCGGAATGAATTCTTGGATTCCAAGCCTCCCTCATTAACAGGCTTTCAAAAGAGCACCTGACATCCCCCCCAGTGTCTGGGGTAACATCTGCCACACACCACGTCTTGGCGCCCACCCTTCCCTGGAATGCCGGGAGGACGCAAACAACATGGGGCCCCGAAGGAGGTGGCTATTGGGGGCCGCTCTTCATCTGCCCACCATTCTGGGGGCAGACTCTGGTCTCCACCTGATACACAGAGTTCAAAATGGAAAAGAAATGGCCTGCTTTCTACCGTCCTGCTTTCTAATTCAGACTGTCGCTGGCATGGCAAGGAAGACAACGGGAGGCGGAGAGATTTGGAGAGCGAATTCAGCTGATTCTTCGACTCTCAAATTTGGGCAGATGGCAGAATACTTGGAAGTCATGATGCCCCTTGCAGAACACAGTGAAATCCGGACACATTAAAGTGAAAAAACAACACAGAAACGTACATGCAAAAGCCGGTCCTGTTGGATACTGGACTCTAGGCTGCACAAGCTTGAAGGTTTTAAGGAAGACTGATGAAGGAAAATGAGCAAATTCTACCCACTTGCTTCGATTCCCCTGCCCACCTTCCCTCTCCCACCCAAGATGGAACAGGACCAGCTTTAGAAGTTCACCAGCGGACCAGCCTCGTAGAACACGCGTGGGAGCAGAGTGTGAGGGGAATGAATTGTGAGTAACAGAGAGTCTGGTCCCCCATCCCGCCTAGATGGAGCAGTGGGTAAGAGGCAGGACTGCAAACTCAAGCCTCTAGTGGGGGCCAGGCAGGTAACGCAAGTGAATGTACAAGAAAAACAGCCAGGGAAGGCCTGCTTGGAGTCCAGAAGACTATGGGAGCAGGCGGTCTCAGCGAGGGCAGGCCAGCACTGTTCCACTGCAGCCAAGGGAGGCTGAGGGGAAGGGGCCGAGGTGGGGATTCATCCGCCCCTGCTGCCCTAACACACAGTGATTTCTCACTGTTCTGGAGGCTAAAAGTCTAAGACCAAAGGGTGGGCAAATTGGGTTCCAGGTGAAGGTTCTCTTCCTGGCTTGTAGATGGCTGCCTTTCACTATGTCCTCTCATGGGGGGAGGGGGGAGAGAGAGAACTCTAGTGCCTCTTCCCCTCTTCTTATAAGGGCACTAACCCCATCATGTCACCCTTATAACTTCCTCTAAACCTAATGACCTCTTTAAAGCCCTACTTTCAAATACGATCAGATTGGGGTTAGGGTTTCAACATAGGAATTTTGGGAGGACACAAGTGTTCAGCCCATAATAGGACATGACCAATTCTGATACCTGATTTTCTTTTTTTGACACCATCTATTTGTCTGTTTGTCTATTTGACACCATCTAATAGACAACACAAGCCCACTGTACTGGTCAAATGAAACAGGTCAGAGGGGCCGGCTCAATCCACAGGCTGCAGGTTTGTCCCGAAACATGGGATATGGCGCCAAATAGCCCGGGCTCCCCATGTGCTGGCTGGGTAACCCTGGGGTCAGCAGGTAACCTCTCTGGGCCTTACTCTCCTCAGCACTTTTTTTTTTTTAAAGATTTTATTTATTTATTTGAGAGAGAGAGAATGAGAGACAGAGAGCATGAGAGGGAGGAAGGTCAGAGGGAGAAGGAGACTCCCTGCTGAGCAGGGAGCCCGATGCGGGACTCGATCCCGGGACTCCAGGATCATGACCTGAGCCGAAGGCAGTCACTTAACCAACTGAGCCACCCAGGCGCCCTCTCCTCAGCACTTTTGAGGGGAAGCTTATCCAATTGCCATGTTACTGGCAAGTTTATAAGGTTCCTAATAGGTTCGGGCACATAAGCTTGCCAGGACACTGGCAAGTTTATAAGGTTCCTAATAGGTTCGGGCATATATAAGAACCTAATAGGTTCTCAGGAAGACTGGATGAGATCAAGCAGGGGAAACACTCAGCCAGTGCCTATAGTAAGTGCTCAATAAATGGAACGAGGCAGGCGACACCATCCTTACACAAGTTCACTTCTGTTAGTAGCTAAAAGAGGTTTTAGAATCCTAAATTGGCATTTGAAAGAGCTGAGGAAATCTGCCAAGATTTATAAGAATAATTCTGCTTTGTGGGGTTTATTTCCTTAGACAAGAGAGTTGTTTTAACTAGAAATTTCTTAGGGTGAGCTCTCGAGCACAAGGCCAGGCACACTGTTTTCTGCAGGCACACACAAAGAGGAAATTACCATATGGAGATTCACCCGCATGGGCGCATTTGGCCAACGTTCATCTTCCATTGCCCCAAAATGAACCAATCTGCAAGCTCTGACCTGGAATCCCAACTCACTCAAAAAAGACAGAGGACAGGGCAGCGTAATGTGGACTGCGAGGAAAGCCAGAGGGGAAAAGTGGCTTAATCCCAACTGGAGTCTAGATTAGGGTTTACTCAGAAGTCTGGTGTCAATACTGTGTCATCTGCCACAGTCTCTTACTGAAATTCTTTGTATTTTTTAAAGCCCGTGACATCAAACCCTATGTTCTCTGTGCTAATTAGGCACAAAAGGTTTCTCCCGCAGCTCTGATGAATGGCAACCGGCACGGCCGAGCTCACCCCACACACTGAGATGCTCAGTGAACGTACAATTTCCACCATCCCGCAGGCTGATGTTTGGTAAACACTCAGCCAGAGACGCTGGGGCTGCCCATACCCGGCAGGAAGGACACCAGCTTGCTGTTATCAGTCGTTCCTCCTTCTCAGATTCGGGCAGGCAGCCTTGCTTTGCCTCAGGGTCTTAGGACCGACTCTCTAACTCGGTTTTCATCAGAAAATTTCGCCCAAACTCACAGGACTCAGGGACAGGTTAATTTCCCCAGCCAGGGGGCTGCCTTTAGAAGAATGGGAATTCCCCTTGTGAGCTATTACAGCGCTTTCAAAACAGGGAAGCCAAGGCCCCAGCATCACAAGTAAATGAGAGAAAAATGTAGTTTCCCATCTGGTGCATCCAGGAAAAAAGGTGCCTTTTACCTGAGGCAGAATACAGGCTTTGTCTTCTCACAAAAGCCCTGATACAATGAGAAAAACATAAGCAAGCTGCAAGCAGTAAGAGGGGCAGTCAGGCCAGTGTCTGTCTGGTTGGAAGTTCAACCCGGAAATGCTGGGAAGTGTGACCCAAAGGCGCCCCTATGGACACAGGCAGAGTAAGCTTCTGGTCTGAAGTTAGAGCATCACTGGTAATGAGGACAGGCCCCCAAGCCCTTACATGCCGTTTTCGAGAGGTAGACTACAAAGCAAGTCTTATTTACCCTGAGCCATCACACAGACCCAGACCAGTGCTTCTCAACTATCGAATCCCAATGTCGTTTTTGGGGATCCACAGGTTTGCCATATGGGGTTTTCCATCTCGTGTCCATATGATGCTAATACTCTAGAAATGATATGATTATGTTCTATAGCATCTGAAGGCTCAGTAAAAACCAAAGTCTGCTCCATCACCTCAGTCCCAATTCCAGGGTATAGATGGGTCAGGCTAGTAACAGACTTAACAGCACAGAGCGGACTCATCAGTGATCAAGTAGTGACACCAAGTGATGACCACCTGCCCCGAGGTGCCACACAGACACTCCCCAGTAATGGGATCAGAGAAGAGGGGGCAGGGAGGCAGCACGGAGACACAGGGGCACCACGCGGGGCAAGCAAAAAGCACGTGCTGCGTACCATTGTGAGCAAAGCCTCAGTGTCAGAAAAACAGCGACATCCACTGTGTTGACAATTCTGAATGGTAATGATTTTGTAAGTGCTTGACACGTCAACCAACGGCTTTCGTTTTCACTTTTATGACATATAAGAACAAGAAATTTATACCTAATTTTAAGTTAGGTCACACTTAAATTATTTTCATATTAATACGACTTAAGTCAGTAGCAGTGGCAGTCTGAGAATGTTTCCTTGCGTCCATTAGCCACTGAGGCAACAGTGACGGACCGATTTGGTTCTGGAACATTCTGTGAGCTGCAGAGAAAATTAACCTCTCCTTTGATCAGAAAGTAGGAAGTACAAACCGCAAAGGCCTGCATTTAGTTGCAAACCTCAGCTCAACCATGCTCATCTGCAGACTCGCGGTCTCGAAGCCCTTTCCGAGGTCTGCAGCATCCCAGCTCATGGCTCCGGGAACACCTGGGCCCCAGCGCGGCGAGGACACACACACACTTCACTGGCCAACCTCGGGGGAGGGGAAGGACGAAGTGCTGGGCGGAGGGCCCACGGGAACCGTACTTACACAAAGAAGGGCATCAGCTGCACGAGGGTCTCCTTCTTGGGGCTGGCAGCGAACTCGGGGGCCACCTGGATGACCTTGTTCATGACGCTGCGCAGGTAATTCTGGAGCTGCTTCCTCCGCTCCTCCACAAACTTGGCATCCTGAAAAAACACACACAGGGATGCTCAGGCGTGTTCTCTTTGCCCATCCAAAAACTGCCCATAGAAGACACAGCAATCCATCACACCAGACAGACAGCTAGTGGACTGAGTAACTGCCACATGCAAATGGCATCTAGGCTTTACGTGGGCCATCCCACTGAAGAACAGGGAAGACGCTCATGATACTCCTACTAAGAGAGGCACAGCGGGTCCCTACAACCACCCACGGTGTGTTCCCATGAATGAATGAAGTCTTACAGCTGTGGCCATTATGTATGCAGCACCTACAAGGAGCCAAGTATGCTGATGGGGACTGAACCAAGAGCCCAGTGCTCACGCTGTGTCACTGGGGGAGGTCACAGGCCCGTGTGGGACACTCCAACAGACCCAGGGACCACACAGGCCAAAGTAATTATTCATCCCACTAAAGGCTGCCTTCTGGAGACCACGCTTAATTTGCCAACATGGGAATTTTCCAAAATATGAATCAGTCACCGCTATTTAAGAAAGGTTTTATTGATAAACAAATTGCACCTCCTCTTAAAACACGAGGCTACGTGGCAGCAGAGGGCCCCCCAGGCTGTGGCTGGGCAGCAGGGCTCCTGTGGCAGGCCCGGGCCCCCAGGTCCATGCAGTCTCTCCAGCCCTCTGCGCTCCAGGGCTCTGTGCTCCTGACCCTCCTCACTCCCACCCCCCACTCCACCCCCGTGTCTGCCTGGCCCTCGGTGGCAGTGCCGGCCTCACACGTGTGTGCCTGCAGGGCACTAGAACTCGGACCTGTGTGATGATCAGCCATCCCTGGGTCTATATCCTTAATAATTTTGAAATAAGGGGCCCCACTGATTTTGGAGCCTTCCCTACTCATTCACATTTGCACTGGGGGCCCTGGCTTACCACCAAGACACCCTGGCCAGCACGGGGGCAGGGCAGGAAACTCTGAGAGCCACATGGGGTGAGCAAAGGAAGAGGAGAGAAAGGACAGGAGGAGGACTGGGGTCATGCATCCTCACGAGAGCATGAGAGGAGACGTACTCTGACTCATGTCACATGACAGATGAAGAAGTGGCAGCGCCAAGAGGGTCTGGGTCGCATGTGCATGAATGAGGTCCCAGAGATGGAGCACAGAGCCGTCCCTGGGAGGGGTTTGGCAACAGTCTGCTGAACACGGCTGAGCTCAGAGGCCCTCAAGAACCTGCCCAGAACCTGCCCTGATCTCAGGATTAGAGTCCCCACAAAGCCAAGGCCCTGAGCACGGCAGGGAGATTCTTTAAGTGTTGCCCGATTTCGCAAACAAAATTACAGGATGCTGGGTGATAGCTGAATTTCAGATAAACAATGCATAATTTCTCAGTATTCATAACTCAATATTCAATAATTCATGACTCAATAATTTCTCAGTATTCAACTACGTACCACACAACATTGGGACATACTTGAACTAAGAAATTATTCATCGTTTATCTGAAATTCAAATTTCACCGGGCATCCTCTGTTTGCTCTGGCAGCCCTCCTGGAGCACCAGGACGGAGGAAGGGTTATGGAGCTGCGGCTGCTGCCAAGCCCGCCCCCTCCCCCCGCCCGGCCCTTTCCGGGTCCCAGCAAGGTCTTGCCCAGAGCCACCCCTGCGGCTGTCTCAGCGCGACCCTCCTCCGGAGGGTGAGAGCACTGAACGCGGCCGACCTGGGCGGGGCAGGGGGGTAGGGGGTGCTTGGGTCCCCGCTGCCTGGAGGGGGCGTGCTGGGCGGGGAGAGCAGCAGGTCCTGGGTCCCCTGCTAGAGCCGGCCGCTCTGTGGTCCTGCATCACTGTGCAGTGAGAAGCTCCTCCCTGGGAAGGCTGTTAACATGCCAGGTGAGCGCCGCATGGAGCTCATGAGGCCTGAGTGCTCAGCAGCACAAAAGCCCACAAGGCCCGCCTGAGAGCCCGTGGCGGGACAACAAAGGAGCCCATCAGCCCCAGGGGAGCTGGCAGAGGTCTCCCCCTTTCTGCAGCAGGGAGAGTCAGCATGCCCTTAGAGCAACACGCAGAGACGGCAGACGGCTCCTCACGCTGCCTGCAGGGTTCGGATCCCAGGGAGGCGAGGACACGCAAAAGGGAAGGGGGAGGATGCCGCCCAGGGGTCGAAAACACCCGTTTTGACTTGTCTCAGAGCCTCCTCTCGCCCAGGTCCCGGGGGCTCCAGTGACGTGGCAGAAAGGTTATCACCCTGGAAGAATCCCAAATCCCTGCATGTACTCATTCCTCCAGATGGCCGGTGCCTGGAAACCCAGGCAGCCCCTGAGAAGACCCCACATGGCAGCAATCTCACTTTGACAAGTGGGCAATTTTTACCCGAGCGATTCAGAATAAGCAAAGGTATTTGTGGAATCTTTATTCATGCTCTTTGCTCAGCGCGTTTCTTGCCTCGCATGCTTACAACCCGTCTGAGGCTGGAAACAGAAGCTGAGAACGGGCAAGGAACATGCCCGAGAGCTCAGAATCGGGAGGCAGATGAGCAGGGTCCCGGGTCTTCAACCCGTACAGAGTCGGAGCCGCCCTCCATGCAGAAGACATTCTTCAACTTATCAGAAGAAAAAGCTACGAGCCTTCCACAGCATAGGCCTCCCCAAACCAGGATTCAGTTCAGAGAAATTCCACTCGGGGGTCAGCACCAGCAGAAGCTGCTGACCATATGAAGAGAAGAAAGCCGTGTGTCACCTTGGTGCCCAGCGGCCAACCTCTGCCCAGGACATCGCTTCCCTCGGGTCTCAGTCTGATCTGGAGGTGCCGACACCCCGAGTCCCCAGAGAGATCACAGTGGGGCAGGGAAGATCTCAGAACTCTTTGTGGAAGACTGCATTTTTTCCTCTGTTTGTCATTTCATTTTTACTTTTATTATGGAAATTTCAAAATATGGCAAAAAGCAGAGCAAATCATACCAGGAATCCCCATAACCCTTTACCTAATAAAGTCATAGCCCTTTTCTGTATTTGCTTCATCATTGTTACCTTTTTGCTGAGGCCTTTTACAGTAAATTATAGTCATCGTGACATCTCACCACGGGGGGCTTTGGCATGTCTTCCTAAAACATGAAGAACGCTTTCCTATTTAACCACAATACCATTAGCACCTCTAACAAAATGAATGCTGATTTGCTGGTGTTAGCTCATACGCAGGCCGCGTTTAAACATTTCCGTTTTCAAATGTGTCTATTGCTTCTCCAATTTTTAAAAAAGGGGCTGTCATCCATCCCAGAAGGAAGCCGGTGACTCCAGTAGGCTGAACGCCATCACTGTCCAAAACAGACTCCCCCTCGGGGATCCGCTGGGTTCTGACCCTACTGGTGAAGAAGACTCTACTTTTTCCACCACAAGCTGCTGGTGGCTTGTATGGCCTAAAAATATTAAAAACAGGATATTTCTGCAAAATCCAGATTCCTGGCCTCCCTTGAAAACTGAGCAATCTTGCTCTCATTAGCTGGAGGCACAATGCCACCACCCCTCCCAGTCTGCCCCGCCTTGGTCCGATCCCCTGCCTGGCCTCTTGGGCCCCTATAAAATCAGCCAAGAGACCACACTGTGGGATGATCGCACCCGATGACGTTCCCTCAGGCAGGCAGAGCGACCTGTGTTGCCATTTACCAGCTCCACCATCAGGTGGCTAAACCAGGGGGCAGCCTCAGGCTTCTCATCCGTAAAATGGGGATAAGGATGGAGCCTACCTCATTCGTGATAACCTAGGCTAAGCCCCTGGTAACGAACATCATCTGCCAGGCTGCGACAGATGATGATTCATAGATGTTCCGCCAGGATTTTTCCCTCAAGGCATTTCTATGTGGACAGGGGGGATAACAGGCAGGCAGATGGTGGATGTCGAGGCAGGGGTAAGTGCTATGAAGCGGTGATTCACGGGTGCTCAGGGAAACTCGAAGAAGTTTGCAAGAGGAATGGAGAGAGGGTTTTAGTCAGAGGAAGTCACTCCTGAAAATACTGCTTTAGCATCTCTTGGAGAAAAGACACGTCAGTCAGAGGGTCAAGGTGGGTCCCCTCAGGTGGGGAACAGACCTACTAAGGAGAGGGAAGAGCAAATGCAAAGCACAAAGGCCCCGTAGCTGGGCTCAGCCATGTGAGCGAGAGCAGACGAGTGGCAGCTGGGGTGGACCATGTACAGCCTCGGAGACCATCGGAGAAGGAAACAGGTCGGAGGAAGGAGGTAGGAGACCTGTGATCTCACAGGCATTTAGGAAGACCGCTCTGGGGGACAGGCTGCCTTCGACAGAGAGCTCTTTCAAAAGTCTGTCACGACACTGTCCTAGCTCAGAATTGTTCAATGGCTCCCTGTGAACTCTATCCACCTACCAGCAAGCATGTCTAAACCGTCAGCACGGCTCACAGGGAGCTGCACAACGTGGCCACAGCCAACCTCACTTCACGTCTCCCTGATGCCCCTTTAGCACCCACCCAATACTGTCAACATATCTGACCCCCCCGCCCCCACTCTCTCCCCGTGTCACACACACTCTCTCGGTGCCTTCTAGCCTTTCCAGAGCTGTTCCCTTGGCCTGGAATACCTCGCAATTTTGGTGTCTGCTCTTGGGCCACCACCTCCAAGAAGCCCTCCAGGACACACTAGCTAATATTGCTCTGTTCTCTCTTCTTCGTGGTCCTCACGGCTGCCTGGAATGGTCTTGCTGACTCATCATGTGCCTTTTGCTCCCCCACTCCCCTCGTCGATCATAAGTCCCAGGGAGGCAGGTCCATTATGTGTCTTGTTCCCCCCGTATCACCAGAGCCTAACACAGTGCCTGGAGATCATGAGAAGCCTCATAAACTCTTACTGCAAGAACAAATAAACACAGGGGATGAATTCAGGGGAGGAAAGGCAGGCCACCAGGCAGAACGGTTTGAAGGCTGTGGCCAAGTCCAAGGAGAGCGGACAAAGACCCCTGTGGGGAGTGGGATGGAGGAAAGGAGGCTGGCCTCCACAAGGCTTTGGCCAGCAAGCTGAAGACAGGTAATAACTG